TTATGTGCTGCCAGGTTTCCACACACTTGTCCAGGGCATCTTGACAGGGTGAACAGTTGGGCACCAGGACCTGGCACTGCAAGGACCTCAGCCCAGGGCCAATATGTCAGCTCCTCACTTTTAAATGGGAAAAGGGATGTATAAATACATGCCAAACTCAGTATTCTCAATACAATCACACTACCAGCAGCCAGACGTTTTTCTACCTATTTACAAATCAACCTATTTACACATTACAAACCTATTCTACCTATTTACAAGCCTATGCTTGATTTTTACTTGCAGCTTGCATGAAAGAGAGCAGGAGATACCTGCTACATAAGCCTCCTTGCACAATAACACCTCAGCAGCGGTTCACAGTAAATCCCTGCTCGCTCCAAGCCCCTTTGTCATGAGCATTCCTGACACACAGCAGAGGAGTAGATGCAGTTCTGTGAGAAAAGTTTGGGTTTTCACAGGAGCGATCTGGCCAGAGCTCACTACGCCCACGCGCTGCAAAGGCTTCCTGCCCGCACCATCTGGGGGGGTTGTTGATGTTTTGCAGCCAGATTAGTCAAGCCGCACGGAAGGTACATTACTCACGGCCTGGGGAAGATTTATGGCTTCAGACACATCATCCTTCCCCAGCCGGGGAGTCAGGATGCGCGGGGAAGATTGTTTTGGGAGGGAGGTGGGCAGACACCTCCGTGGCCTCCAGGAGATGCTCCCTGGAGGCGCAGCGCCCAGGCCGCGGGGCAGCGAGTGTTTCGCCTTTTCCTCGCTTTTTCGCCCCGTCCCGCAACCACAGGGCAGGGACAGCCGCTCTCCGCGCCCGGGGGCCGCGGGAGAGCCGTTCGGGGTTCACTGCAGGCCTGAGAGGGTGGTCGATCCCCTCCGCCGGAAGGCCCGGGGCTGCCCATACACCGACCCCTACCCCGACGACACCGCCCCGGGCGACCCCCGAGACCGGCCCGGGCCCACTCGCCGCCCCCCCCGCCTCAGCCCCCACCGCGGCACCGCGCGGCGCCCCCTGGCGGCAACCGCCGGGGCAGCGGGCCGGGAGTGAGCCGCCGCCGCCGGTACCTGCCTGAGGTCCGCCCCAGAAGCCGCCGCTCTTCTCGTCGAGGAAGCGCGTCCAGCCGTCGGGCCGTCTTCACCCCAGCTCTGCCCGGGAGAGCGCCAGTCCTGCCCCGGACGGCAAATGGCGGCGAACGGCGGCGGCGCGGGACCAAGCACGGGGAGGGGGCGGGGCGGCGGAATTGGTGCCCGAAAGGTGCGGACGCGACGCATGCGGGAGCGACCAGAGCGGGTGCTGCGGGCGCCGCTGCCGCGCTATTTAATGCGGCGGCGGCGGCGCGCGTGTTGCCGGAAGCGCGGGCCGGCCCCGCCCCCCGCACGTGGCCGTGTTTATCGGCGCCGGCCCCGCCCACAGCCCGCGCCCCGGGGCTGGTGGGGGCGTGGCCTGAACGTAGAGGGCGTGGCCTGATCACAGGGGGCGTGGTCTGGTCGCTGGGGGCGTGAGCTGGATGGCGGCCGAGAGCTTCTCTCCGAGTTACGAGTGTGTGCTGAATTTGTGTACTGTGCGTGACAGCTCTCGTGTGTGTCTGCCTTGTGTACATAAAACATTAAATGTAGAACACCAACATGCATAAAAATAATGTTTTATGCGTGTTTTGATGCCGTATATAGCTCCCATGTTTGATTTATCGACACAAACAATAGAAATATTTATACAGGCATGGTTTTGTTGGCTTGTGAATATATTTTAGATATCTGTGTATTGCAATTTTATATAATACAATAAGACAATGTAATACAATGTAATAAAATATTATAATAGTGTAATAATAATATATGCATTGCAAAGTTATCATTATAGAAACATATAGAATTGAATCCTGCCCTGCAGAGTGGGTTAAGCCAGGCAGATCCGTGTCACTGAAAATACCGTCATCCTTTTAAAGAGGATCATTTGGCAACTCTGAAGCGCAGTTGGGTTCAGCCTGCAGGAGCAGATGAAGAGAGAACTGAGTGCTAGAGAATGCAGACACAGGGATTGATTTCTCCTGCCTCTTTTAAAAGCCATCAATTTAGAACATTGTGAAAACAGATAGAATACATGAAATAATGTTACACGTTGTTCTATGTGGAGAACACTATATATATATAAAATATTATCGATAGAATGTTTTTAAAGTGTATGCTTTGTATGTGTATATTTTATACTGGTGTAATGTTTTATGTATATTATTTTTTGTATCAGTGCTTTATGTATGGTTTTATATTTAATTCTATTTATTTTCATATTTTATAGATAAATATGTATGACTGAAAGATATATAAATATATATAAGACAATATTATATATGAAAATATATGTGTTGTATACACATAGTGCATACACTGGCACTTGTTAGTAAAACTGTTCTATATTGAACATTAAAAATACGGGGTTTTTGCATCCAAGCCCAGGTTGAGGGGGTACATCCCCAGCCAGGAATGCACTATGGCTCATTTAATAAATGTAGGATGTTTTGTACTAGGATTAGGACATGTTTGCCCTTTGCTGTGGTGTACGTACCTCAATATGCGGATTTTCTTATTGCAAAGTCAACATTACTTGGGGACACCGTGCATGGGGTATCCCTGGGTGTCTGGGAGCAGCTCCAATCCCACAGGAGGGGGTGGATGGCTGTCAGGACAGGCAGCCAGCGGCATTGCCTGGCCTCGGCTTGGGGCTGGGGGCTGCAGAGAAGAGACGTGGCGAGGGGCCTTCTGCGGGGCCAGGGGGATAAGCTGTCCTAATCCGGGTCATGCTGCCAGCCGTTCCCTCTCTGTGCCGCCGGCTGCCACGGGGCATTCGGCAACATCTGGCACTTGCAAGTGACAGTGCTATGTATTCACCCTCAAAAAAAAAAAAAAAAAAAAAACCAAAAAAACCAAACCAAACCAAAACCTAATGAAAACAAGCACTGGAGGTGCAGGGAAGGCTCCCGGTGCAGCACTACCGGGACGGAGTGGGAGCCCTGCAGGCAGGAGAGCTGCAGGGGCGGTGTCTGCAGATGCTGAGAGCTCCACACCAGGTATGGTCTGCCCCTGGCCGCCCCATCTCTATTTCCTGCCGTGGCTCCCCTCTGTGGGTGTTACACAGGGTCAGCAGGAGGAAGGGAGAGTGAAAACCCACTGGCTAAAAGCTGCCATATGTGAAGGGTTCTTGCAGCCCCTGGGGACAGAAAGTGCTTGAGAGCGATGGTGAGCCACAGTGCCTGCAAAAATTAAAATCCAGGTACAAGGACACTGGGGCTGAGGTCTCCTCCCAAGCCACCCCTACAGGATGGCTGTCTCACCTTCTCTTACAAGCAGTGACAGCTATTTTTTGAGTGTCAGGAGACACTTTGATTTGCAAGAATGCTTTGAGCTGCAAAATCATCTCTGGTGTGTTTCTTCTGCAGTTTAAGTGCCCTGTGCCTTCAACAAGCGAACATCTTTCAACAGCAGCACTGCAGGTGAACCACCGTCCACACATCAGGAGGCTCCAGAGGGGACCAGGTCTGCAGCAGTGGAGCTGCTTGGGGTGAGGCAACTCCCAGCAGCATCACTGAGCTCAGTGTGTCCCTTAACAGCTGTAGTCGCCTGTCACCCACATCCTGCCCTGCAGAGTGGGTTAAGCCAGTCAGATCCATGTCACTGAAAATACCTTCATCCTTTTAATGAGGATCACTCAGCAACTCTGAACTGCAGTTGGGTTTGGTCTGCAATAGGGAATGAAGAGAGAACTGAGTGCTAGGAAAGGCAGACACAGGGATTGATTTCTCCTTTCTCTTTTAAAAGCTGTCATGATCTGTCATGATAACCCACAATCACTGTCAGACCTTGTGAGAAGCCAAGGAGCTGCCAGTGGGCTGCAGTAGGTGGTCACCTGCTGACTGAAAGCACTGTGTCAGACCATAAGGCAGCAAGAGCCGTGGGTTCAACTGAGCATGTGGCATGTTAAAACCTTTGGAGATTTTAACAGGCAGCAGGAGAGCTGCCACCATTGGCACTGTAGCACAGCCTGAATCAAAGCTAAAAAAATTTTAGGACTGAGAAAAAAACAACAAAAAAACCAAGAGTGAAGCTCATGGCACAGAAACACAGGTGCAGAGCCAGGGTAAGCCAGGCTGGACCAGCTGCAGGAACTGACATTTTAGAAATGGTGGTACAGAGAGAAATCAGAGCTACTGCTCCAGAGCATGGACCCTTTCCCCAGAGACCAAAATAGATCTGCTTGTGGCCCAGCTGCTCAGCTCCTACTGGCTGGTGCAGTAGCAATGGTCTGCACGCAGTAGGTCACAGGCAGCTTTTTTGAGGGCTTCTCCCACAGGTGCTTCCACATTGGGGTGTTGTGGGGCAGCAGCCTCCTTCCTTTGCTTCAGCCTTTACTTTGCAGGTACCACAAGTGCTTAAACTCTACTTTCCATCCTTCACAGCCAACTGGTATGCAGGGGTTAACAAAGCAGGGACAAACCCATTCAAATGCCTGGGAAGGTGCAGGGATTTGCAAAGGAACCGTGGAGGCATGGGATTTGTTTTTGTCCAAAGCTGGTACATCTGTAACAAATTGTGGCTCCGTGTTTACAGATCTGGGAATTGGCAGCAGAGAGGTTAAAAGTGGCATGTTTAGCTGTGAAAGGAGAACGTTCCCCTCCCTACAGCTGGCCGGTGTGTGCATGTGTTGCACAGACATCAAAACAACCTCTTATGCACCCTCCTGGAGCTGCAGGACACAAGCCACCTGCCCAACCTTGAATCCCTTCAAAGCTGGGCTTTTCATGCCACAGAATGAATTTTATCTCAGGACACAGAGGAACAGCTGAGGGTGGGTCTTCCATTGGCAGTGCTGGTTGGAGCCAGGGGGGATTTGCCACAGCACAGTTTCAGAGGGAAAAACTGTGTTTTTGGGACAAACTGAGTACACAGTGACATTGCAAAGTGGCCACAGGGTGCAGCGGGGTGAGGACACAGTTCTGGTGCTGCCACTCTGCATGGAGGGTGGTAGGACTTTATTCCAGCAATGTCTTGATTTCAACCTGTGAACGTTCACAGTCAGCACACACAGATACTACATGTAAAAGCTAACACTGGAAATCAGCTTTAGTAGTGAAAATGAATCTGTGGGTAAAGGGCCCTGTGCTGGGCAAAACCCAGAAGCACTGGTTTACAGAAAGGCAATGCGTGATGTCGTGACCCTCTTGGGTTTGCACAGGTCATCAGGAGAATTATTGATGTGGTCATTGCATTGCCAATGTCTGCATTTCCCACACAAGGATAAAGACAGAAACACTCTTTCAGAGTAGACTCTGGGCAGCAAACCCTCATTTGGCACATCTTTTAGGATCCTGCCCGTGTCACATTCTCAGGCCATCCCAGTTGTCCATCTGATGGGAAGAGGCAAGGAGCCCGCGTTTGGCTGTGGCAGCCTGTGCTTTCAAACCTCAGAAGCATACATGTTCCTCTTATCTAAAAAATGATCCAGATGATAGATATTTCCTTAGGGAGACAGATCTGGTAGCCTGGTAGCCTCCATGCCCCTGTCATCCAGTTAGGCATGCCAGTGGCAGAGTTAGCGTGCTGTGGCTCATGCCACTGCGGGAGGGTTTGCCATCTGTGAAAGCCACACAGTGATGATGAAGAGCATCTAACTTCGGGAACAGTGAGCCATGGTGTGGCCCAAGCTTTATTTTCCTACACCTCTATTCCTTGAAAGCAGCGACTCACTGAGCAAGAGCAAATGCCAGAAATAAGATTGACTCACTGGCCAGTGTGTTCCAGGGATACTTTAGGAGAGCTGGTTTTACTCTAGGACTCTCTGGATGCTCACAGGTGTCCTGTGAAGCCTTCTTTCAAAAAATTCCGTAGCTCTACTCTGGATCAGGCCTTCCTTGAGCCATGGGAATGGGAGGGGACCCTCCTGCCCCTGCCCATCAGCCTCCTGGTGACTACATGGTAGATATGGGTCCCTCCAGGCAGCCAATAGTGGATCCCTTTGGAATCCTCCTAGAAGAAGGATGTCACACAGACACCAGTGACATAAATGACTCTCACCGTGGACTCCTGAACTGTGCATTATTGCAGCCTGGGCAGAGCACAGGTCTAACAGCAACAACAGCAGCACTTGGCAATGTATGCTGTTCTCATCTTCAAAGCATTAGCTGGTGGGAATTAATCCTCATACCAGGCAGGCAAGTCTCATGACTGTCACTCCACAGAGAAGCAGAGCAAATGATGTGATGAAGGGTCAATCAGGTCACAGCTGCAATGAAATCACAGCAGTTCCTGCCTGCCCATCCTGTGACCATTAGACCTTATGTACTCATCAAGGAGGCAGCTGGCATGCAAGGAGGTGCAGGAACCAGCCTCTCCTCTGGAGGCAAGTCATGCATGGGGAGGTGCTGGGCCATGACTCACCTTTGGAAGCAGGTTCTAGTGCTGGGTGAGGTCAAAGAGTTGCTGGGTGCATCCTTTAATGACTCACTCTCACGGTCTGGCAGTACAAGGGCACCCAGTAAAGGATGCTGAAGGGCTGAGGGAAGCAGCTGCAGACCAGGTTGGGTTACCAGACTTTTTTCTGGTTGCTTTGAAAGCCTGAGCTTAAGATTTTAACCCTCTGGATGGGATTTTGGCTGCTGATGTTGGGGTAAGAAGGCCATTTGTGTTAGTCACTAGTGTGGACTTGAGCCAGAAGACTGTCCCCAAAGGTCATTTGGTTTTGCCAGCTGCTGCTGTACCTTGGATGAGTTACTTGATCTCAGCAGGGAGAAGCTCTCTCCACACTGAAATGGGAGCCGTGCAGATCAGCAGCTTCTTGGGAATCGGAGGGAGAGGAATATAGTTTCCTGGGCAAATACCTGCAAGTGGGTTTGTTGTAAAAATAAAAAATACTTAGGAAAAGTAAAATGATGCCCTTGGATTTACCTCAGTTCACAGAAACACACCCCTAAATGTGAGGTGATTTGCTTAGGACAGATAATAGAGATGAGAAAGCCACAACAGTACTGGCAGTTCCCTGTGCACAAAAGACAAACAGCGGGATGTTGTCTGCGAGCCAACTTCCACATACGTTGCACGCAATGGGACAGCCCATCCTCCCTCCTCCTCGTGCCATAGGTAGATCTAAGGAAGGCAGGAGGCTGGCAGCAAATTAATGTCAGCAAACCAATTGAGAAGAGGAGCAGCCCAAGGGAGTTGTATCTTGTCAAATTGGGAATAATTTCTTGCTTCTAGTAAATAAACTGTGCACAGTGTAGCTGACAACAGGGTTGGGGATATGATTTCATAGAAAATATATATTTTCCGTGTCAAAGGGTGTCTCTGCCTCCTGCCCACTGCATTAAGCCCAGGAATTTGTAGTCAGGAGTTAGTGCTGGACATTCAGTTCCACAACGGAGAAGAGCTGGAGTACAGAGCTACAGTGGGCATGAGGCCAGTGGCGCCTGAACCGGTTGTGGCAACAGTCCTGCAGGATGCAGGTTTCTCTGTGGGACAGCAATAAACCAAGCCAAGAGCTGGATCAGTGTCAGGGCCTCCCCGAGGTCCACAGCCATGTGTTGCTGCACCGCCAGTGCTGGGGAAAGCAGAAGGCACTGAATGCCACTAAGCACTGAGGGTATCACACCTGTGAAGATCAAGTCAGCAGTGGGGTTGCCTTGGCCTGGCTTTGTACTGCAGGTTATGGCTGACCTCCTAGAATAATCAGTGAGCTCCTGTAATTATCCCGGGACATCGTGTAGTGGCCATGTCTTTCATCTCTTCCATTCTCCTTGTGGCACATCACGGCTGTGGCTCTTAGAATAAGTCTGAAGTTTGTTCTTGGTGCTGCAGTGTTATCTGTGGCTTTTGTGGCCCCTGTGTAACAAGCATCACTACCTGGTTGCCTGCAGTCTCAGGGGACCTAGTTTGGTGACCCAAATTCTCCATTTTTTCCCCCACTTCTCTTGTTCTCTGGATGCCTGTTGCAGGGAGATGGTTAATGCCAGGCACTCCCTTTTGCAGCCTTGTTGCATCTTCATTTTCCCATCTCCGAAGGTGATTTGGAGCCTTCAGCGGTAGAAGGCTCATGCAGTCCAAGGGCAAGCCTGCTGAAAGGACAGATGTCCCTGGAAGAGAAGGTAGGAACACAGATGGAGGGAATGGAGTGTGAATTTCTGCCCTTCTGTCCCTTCAGCAGCCTGCAGAAAGCAGCTGTTTCCACAATGTGAAAAGCCATCCCTGGGCAGGGCAGTTTCCAAAGGTGAGAGGTGGCCCCAGGCACGGTCTGGGAAGGTTCCAGAGGGTTACAGCCCTGCCCATCAGGCATGCTGCCCGCTCCAGGCCTCCATTCAACATGATGAGGGAGAAAATCTGAAGGCAACTCCTTGCTGTTTAACCACATATCACATCTACCCTCGCTCATGGGCTCTGAAAGGAGCTGTTTTTCTCACTGTGCAAATGCACATTTCATGGTCATGCTATGGGACACGCTGCGGGGGAAGGAGCCTGATAAGTTGTTCCTGGCTAGATTTGAAGGTGCCCCTTAGCTGACCATTACAAGTTTCTAACCCAGAACTACCTGTTTTACAGAAAGCTTGTTTTTCCGTATGTAAGAAAGCCCTCTCCTGGACCAGCAGCTGCTTTCCATGAAAGCCAGAGATTCAACTGCTCAGTCTCAATGAAGAGCCCACAGGAGTTTCTCAGGATGCTCACCTCTGTGTCTGCAGTCTGCCAGTCCATCCTGGGTCACTCTACAGTTTTCTTACCCCAACACCACCCTGGCAGCATCAGTGGGACACACTGAGCATCCCTGTCTGACAGGGGGAATTGTCCAGATCTTGTAGGTGGCCAGTGCTCAGCGCAGTGATGGGAGCTTGTTGCAAAGGGCAGCAGGGTGATCTGCTGTGTGAAACCTCCTGTGGAGAGAGGAGCATGGTTATTAGAGAGTTCCGATCCTCCGCCCTGTTGGTAGGATACACAACTTTTCCTAAACACAGCCTGTCCAGCTGCATTCCTGAAGCATACATTCCTTGCCAGCGTAGCTCACCCAGAGTGTGGCCAGGAATAGCGCTGCAGCTTCGTGTGGGACCTCTCTCAAATACATCCTTAATTGAATAGGTCCACTTGGCCCATGTGTTTGAACTCAGACTAGGAGAGAAGTATTGTAACTATTGGTCTTTTTGCCATTTTCTACCCAATACCATCCATTCTTTATCCCTCGCACCTGTGACTTAAAAGCACCACCACTCTTTCAGCTTTGTTTTCTGTATCACTGCCCTCTATTGGGCTGCCCACTGGGTCAGCATGGGTGCCAGTGAGCAGGGACACTAGTGGAGCCACCTTCTTGAGTTAATATAGTTAAGGCTTGTTGTCATGCAGCCGGAGATACTAATTTGTCTCTTAAAACACATAGCTGAGATTCAGCTGGATATTCGTAGCCACAAAGAATGCTTTGCTGGAAAGATGGTTACTGGCTTTCTGATTTTTATCATAAACCTTGTGATAGCTGGCTTTCTTTTGACAGCACAAATATCTGGAGCATAGTTTTGGGGTGAGAAGCTCAGCTTTCAGTTTAAATCCAGAGTGCACCTTTGGAGCCCTGACAGTTGCAGAGAAGCTACAAAGTGACTTCCAAGCATGCTTCTGTGACTCAGAAAATGCAAATTACCATGTGTTTTGGTTAAGAAGACAATCAAGAAGGAATATTATATTTTTTAAGGTTATGTACTGGTCCTTGAGTACTTGGCACTGCCAATTTCAGGGAATGATGCCAGTGTACCAGGCCTTTTTGTTACAGAGAAGCTTATGCATAATTTTGAGAAACAGGACTGCAGGGATTTATGTGTCCTGGAAAAGGTGAGAAACTCTTCCCTTCCCTCCTAGGGAGGTCTTAGAAGGGCACAGCTGCTCAGTGGGCCACCTCTCATGCCCAGGGCCTTTTAGAGGAGCAGATAGGAGGCATCATACCAGGTTGGCTCCTTTCCCTTGTTCTGCCTATCACTGCCCACAGGCAACCTTAATGCCAGCATGTGGGGTGAAGTCACAGCCCCACAAATGAAGTTTGAAGGATTTGGAGTGTTACAGAGTGTTAGGCCATTTCCCATGAAGAGCAGTGGAGCTATTAGACAGTTCCCATGGACACAGCCTTGAGCTGTGTGGCTAAGTGCAGGTGCTGCATTCCTGGATGTTGTTGTAAGAATATGTTTGTGTTGTGTATGAGAAAGTAGAGGTGGGAGAACTGAATAAAAAAGCTGCCTGCTGCGTTGAGCAGGCAGACATCTCTTTGTCTCACCATCCTCGTGTGTGTCGTCTGTCCTTCTTCCCCCCTTCAAGCCGAGGCCCTTCGACGGATACCCAACGACACCAGCAGTCTTAATCTGAATACATACAAGTAAGGTATTTTTATAATCCTTTTCTTTTTCTATCAACAGTTGCATGGAAACTGAACTTTGTCATATCAGTCCTGCTGCTGAAGGCCACTGCGTATCTGAGTTTTCCCTTCAAGTAGATATTAGAGACATAACTTAGGGGCTTTGGCTTCATCTCTCTCCGGCTTGGTATTGCTCCAGTAGAGGCAAACACTTTGTGGCTCAGTCATAACAGTTTTTAATCCACTTTTTTGTGCTTGCCTGTGCTGTGTGCAGACTTAACCACAGTGGTCAATTCTCGCTTTCAACTTCCCCCTTGGTGCCTTGTGTTGTTTACATGGTGTGTAGTGTTCTGCAGTCATCAGATAAACAGAAATAAAAATCAGTGTTGGTTTGCTTTATAAGAGTAACCCCTGGAGTCAACAGCCATTCACTGCTTGTAACCTTTAAATCTCACACCAAGAAGTGACTTTACAGAAGAAATAAATAGAATATTGACTTAGGGTTCCCATGTGTTTTCACATGAAAGCATTAAAAATCTAAACGCAGCATGAGAATGAAGCAATAAAGCATCTGGACTTTCTTGGCCAGGCATGGAGTAGAGTGTGCCTGATTTTTCCAGGAAGAAAGTGAATTTGCAGAGAAAGTGCCAAGGAGTCACAGCAGTATCACTACTATTACAAGCAGGGATTTTTCAGCACATGCTGTGCTATAAATGATGATGGGTGGCTACTGCATTTTTGGGATCTCTTAGTCTTTCTGCAAGCAATGGGAACCCAGCTTCTAAAATATCCTGGAAAAGGGGAGGCAGCCTGGAAATAGCCCAAGAGAGATACTCTCCAAGGTGTTTTTCATCAGTCCAGAGTTGGTAGCTGCAAGGAGAGGGCACAACACTGGTACCTGCAACAGGAGGAATGAATTCAGAGTAAGTCTATATTTCTTTGGCCGCAGCTACATCTTTTCCAAGATTTAGCTGGGAAAGAGGCAGTCTTCTCCTTGTAAAATAGAAGGAAGATCTAAGTAGTACCAGATCTATCTTTATAAATACATATCTAGCATCTTGATTTTTAAATTTTAAAATGTAGTTAAAACTTCAGGAAATAACTGCTGCTTTGAGGGTCTTCCCATTCAGAAGACAAGTCCTGTCTCTTACTCACTGCAATTACACAGCCTAGTGCTGAGTTGCTCATCTCAACACTTGGCTGATGGACAGAAGCATTTTTTAGAGAGTATCACAGGGTCCTTTCCCAAAGCCTGAGGAACAAGCCATGACAATACCTAAGAGTCAGAAAAAGACCCCTTTATACTTTGACAGGAGTTTGGGTGGTTGAGGTTGAGGCAAAAAGTAATTAATCCCAGACATAATAAAATTGGCATATGGTACTGCAGGACCCTGAATAACTCAGCAAACTCAGCGGAGTCATAATTCAGAAGAAGTCCAAGCAGGCCACCTGCGTGGCTGCAACATCGATTTTAGGGGTTTTTTTGGCAAGAGCTGGTGTGCATGAAGAGCCTCTGAGCTCTGCAGAAGCAGTTAGGTGCTCTACCCAGCCACTGTAAATCAATCCTAAAGGGAAAAAAAAAAAGTTACCTGTCATCCTTCCTTGGCTCACAGTAAGATATGTGAGCTGCCACATTACAGCTAAAGGCCAGTTCAGGAGAAAATTTTGTCCCACTGATCCAAAATGCATCACCTGTCCCAGGAGAGAACTTTTCTTCTGTTTTTTTTTTGGTAGCCAAGATGCACACTTGCCTGGGTTTAACAAGTCCCTGGGCACGAGGAGAGCTGCAGGAACACCGTGGCTCCTTGCTCCTCGCGTGCACCAGCTGTGGGGCGATGCAATCGGCCTCCCACAGGGTACACAAGGTCAGGTTACCTCGGTTCCACTGGAGTCAGAAGTGGGCTCTGGGACAGTTACCCTGACTCAGCTCACAGGCAGGAAATTGTTAAATTACAGTAATTGACTGCAAGAACAAGTTTATCAGCTGAGTCTGTTCCAGCCTATTCTTCAGGTTGCAGGTCCCTGGGAGCAGGATTTACTTTTTTTCTCAGAGCTGTATTCTCTAGTGTGGTTTCCCACCCATATTGCATCAAAAAAAGGTGAGTGCTTCTAAGTTTGTACTTAATTTTAAGGTTCTTCTGCTCTAACTCACCAGGTGTTTGCCCAGGCTAGGTGGGACACAGTAACTGTATTCATCTAATAGTGCAAAACAGTCTTCTGCTGCCAGAACAGCTAATTTGGCATCTGCATCTGCTGTTGGCGACTTTCCCACTGATAATAGTGCAGGAGGTTCTGTTCTTAAATTTGCAGTTTGTGTCCCTAAGGAATATTCTTGCTTGAAACTCTTTGGTGGTTCCAATGAGGCTTTTTGCTGATGGCTGTAGTACCTTTCTTCCAGCTCTGCTGTCTGGAGGCAGAGCTGCTGGTAAAGAGAAAAGATTTCCCAGCAAATACTGTGCATTAGAGGGTGTTGAGCACTGTGCAGTGTATGCTGACTTTTAAAGTGTGACCACTGTAAGTACACCAGCTGGAGCACAGGGAAGGAAAACACTTCTAGATCCAAGTTTAGTGATCAGATATTCCATTAAACAGGAAACTCGTGTAAGCACTTAACAGCATTCATCTTTTGGTTGAACATCCAACATTCAACATGCAGCAAAATTAATTTCAGGTAATACAATAGAGGTTAACTTAATGGAGAAAAAGCCTGGAAAGCTTTTCTGGAAGGGGATGTGTTGTGTATATCTATATATCAATATCCATTATGGGAAGGACATTAGCTCTGGTGTGGGAGGGTAATGACAGACACATGGGCCCTAACGGAGGTCTCATCATGTGTCTGTGGAAAATACGAATCATCCGAGGCAGCATGCGTAGCGTAGGAGAATTAGGAAATCTTGAAGAGGTGACAGCTGATTAAACAGCTGAAGTTTTAGATCTGTGAGCTATTTGAAACGCAGAGATACATCATAAGACAGCTACCTTAAACTGCCTGAATCCATTTTTTTCCCCTGTTCCCAGGCAGTGCTGTTTACCTTGTACAAAGCTGTTACTGTTCAGCCTGTGCAGAAACGGCCTTTGTCATCATATTGGAGTCTGACTCCTCCAGCTAAATTAGATCATTGTAGCAGTGTAGACAATATACAACTGTGCAAGCCAGAATGCAAATTTATTACTTTTCCTATACAACTAATTTCACGATATCTTTGGGACAAGCCTGCTGTTTTTTGAATAGAACATTTAAGCTGAAGGAAGAAAGGGGAGGTAAATTTAACTTAAAATCTTTGGACACAAGATCAACCCCAAAGTGTTCATGTAATCAGAGTCAGAAACCACCTTATCTTCTGGTGTGGTTTCACTGTAGCTGAAGTTTTAAAAAATGGCTGATACCATAAGAACAGTTTATCCCTTTTCACCCTTCCCCAGTGCTGGGATTTTGCAAGATTACAGTCAAATGTATTTCTCAAGAAAAGTCAGCTGGGGATACCACTCAACTCCCTTATCTTGATGGACCTTCAAAGCCATTCCCCATCCCATACCCAGTCT